CCATAGTCATCCAAACATCCACAAGAGACACAATATCCAATCAATTTTTCCAATCACAAATACATTCAAAAGTTCCCAAATTTCACAAGTAGTATCCCAATAGAACAATTTAAGAAAATATGCAAAAGACCATTATAAATACCATTTTTTTGTTCAATGTAAAGCACTAAAGTTTTGCAATCAAGAACAATTGAACATTAATAACAAAATCTATTTTTCTCAAAACTAGGGTTTTCATGGCTATCAAACCATAAATACCTTTCAAAACATGGTGATATTTGTAAGAACTTCAAGAAACAAGTATTTCATAGCATATATCTAAGGTTTAGAAGCAAAACATACATATATATATAAACCCTATCCTCAATGAACAAGAATGGAAGAAAACTCTTACCTTGGTATTCTTGAAAAACTAGGGATTGATCCAATTCAATATGCAAATCCCCTTTGATCTTGTGTTTTTCCCTCTCTTTCTTCCTCTCTAAGGTTTTCTAGGGTTAGAAGTGGCGAAATGGGGCTAAATGGGACGTCCTTAAGTATTTATAGTAGAAGGAAAAATCGGCTGTTTCGTGACTTAAAAATTTAAATTTTTGAAAAACCTTCAAGAAGTTTTTTCATCGACCTTCCGAACGGTTTGCCCACTGGACAAACATTTCTATTAACTTTCCAGAAGGTTTTTCATCGACCTTCCGAAAGGTTTGCCTACTGGACAAACTTTTCCATTATCCTTTTGGAAGAACATTACTTTAACCTTCTGGAAGGCTTTCATCGACCTTCTGGAAGGTTTTGCCCACTAGATTAGCATTTACCTTAACCTTCTGGAAGGTTTTTCATCAACCTTCCGGAAGGTTTTGCCTCTTTCTCTACAAATCCTTCTTTCTTCATTTCCAACTCATTCCAATCCGTTCCACAACCATCCAAAACCATCCCAAACTTATACCATATACATTGGTATGTCAAACCTAGTTAGTACAAGTTCTATTACAATGATTTCATATACTTACAAGCTAAAACTAAGTTTTAACTACTACTTACTCGAATTTCTCCATATTAACATTTCAAAAGAAATAATTATTTGCTATATAAACCTATATAAATATATAAAGATAAAAGTGTGGGGTTTACAGTTTGAGCCAAGAGATGTAGTTCAGTAGATAGGCAGCAGTGATGATAAAGAGAAGGTTGGGGTTGGATTTGTGGAGGATGAGGAAGATGAATTTGGGTCTAAGTAGTTTGTTTGTTAGGTTTATGATGATTAGCTAGTTTTTGATGTTTTAAGGAAATTGTCTAGTCGAGCTGTAATGACTTAAGATAGGAAACTTTCAGTTTTGTCCTAAAGTTGTCATATTTTGATCTTTTGTTCCCAATAACGTTGGTTATATATATATTAGACCTTTTGACTTCATTATGCATTTTTGAATTGTTGTTATGAAATGATGTGTGTGTGGATTGTATGAATATTTTGATTGTGTGTGGAATTGATGAATGTATGATTGCATATTTCTCTATGTCTGGTTTGCTAGAGACTAGTAAAGCTTAAGTTCGGGGGTAAGTTTAGTGTATATCATTGCTTATTTCATACCTTAATTCATCCTCATTTCACATGTGTTTAATGTTTAATCCTTTGAATTGTGTTAAAAATATAGTAATGAAGTGTATTTTTTGTTGTAGGTACAAAATGAAATGAACGAGAACATATGGAAGCAAGCGTAAGGTCACTCCTTTGGCAATCCTCGCCCTGAATTCATGAACCTTTTGAAGTCCCTGCAAATCGAAAAGAAAGAGGTGAATGAAAAGCATAAAAAACCATCTTCCAAAGGGAAAAAGAGGGAAAAAAAGAAGAAAATACTAGAACTATCTGCGGATAGCTTGCCAAGTGATTTCATCATCGGACATCATCTCGTTTGCAATCAAATCACAGGGAAGATGCTCCTCTGGCAATACCCATTGCCATGTTGAAGTCTTCAATAGTAGAATCATGAACATTAATCTCCCTCCCCTTTGCCTTCAAGATTGGGCGAAAGAGGGGAATCGCAAGTTCTAGGGGGTAAAAGAGTATAAAATTCTGACACTTTGTGTTTTTTAGGGGCATGCTCATCAAACGAAACCAATGTAACTTCTTCCATTGGATCGAAAGGAGGAGGAAGAGGTTCCAAAGGAGTAGAAGGGAGTTCAGGTTAGATGACAGGGGCCCCGAGTTCAACTTCGGCAAAGCCCTAACCATTTGATTTGTCAGTTCCTCAAGATTCACAATTTGCTCTACCTCGGTAGGTTCTTCCCAAGCATGTCCTTAGGATCAAAGGAAGCTTGAATTGGGGTAGGAGGAATTTCAGGCACACTTTAGGAAGATAGAAAGTCAAGTAAATTCCTAATCGGTCTGTTCCTTCCAAAAGGACAAATAACAGCCTTCTTGTGGGACCCAGAAGTTTGATCCTGAGCAACTTGGATGGCTTGAAGATCATTAGCCAGAGTGGCGTTGGGATTAGGAGGAATCGCAATATAGGACGCGTAGGTTGGACTGTACCCGAGCAAAGTATGATCGGCTCTGCAAAAAAAAAAAAAAGACTTGTTGAAGCCCCATACCTTCTTCAGTTCGTCCATCATTATGGATCTCTCTACGATCTTTTCCTTCACAATTTCACCCACAAGAGGCATATCCAGTTAGGAGAGATAATATAGGAATCATGTATAAAGAAAGTGTTTGGAATAGGGATAAGGCATATTGTCAAATACTTGGTGCGCCTTCTTCGTAAGAAAATTGATAAGAAGGACTTTCACTAGTAACGTATTCCCAGTTACTAGAAACGAAGACTACATCATTTTCATGACCTTTGTTCGAATCAGAAAAGTGGGTCACCAAGTAGTGGTCCTTCTTCCTCACTGCAAGATAATAGTTGTCTCCAGCAGGCTTGATAATGTAATAGAATAGGATCTCCCAGAGACCCAGACTCAAGTTTAGAAGTTTGTTAAGGGCAACAACACCCATTATTATCCTAAAGAAATTAGGATAGGATTGAATGGGGGCACAACTTCAATGCTGAAAGCACCTATAAGAGGAGAGGATGAAGAGAAAATTGAACACCACCCTCAGTGATGGCTCGGGTATGGATAGGGATACATTCCCTAGTACCAATCAAGGCTTCATTAGTTCTGGCGATGTGAATATGGACATCTTTAGGAATCTAGTACTTGACTCTGAAATTAGGGATGTCTGGTGGAGTAAGAGGTATCATTTCAAAGAGAAGGAAATAATATTAGAAGCAATAGAGAAATAGAGCGAAGAGAAGAAGAACGAGGGTAAAAAAAAGAAGTCTTGCACCCGTTTCTAAAGCATGAACAGCACTAAATGAAGCGCCTTAAGCTCAAAGAATAAATATTTAATGCAAGACATGTTGTCAGAAAAAAGTGCATGTGCATGCCTCAAGGATTCATGTAATGATTAGCTTGGGAACATGAAATGATTGCAAGACGAAAAAAAGCCTGACAAACGTTTCATGGAGGCAAGTGAATGGGCATAAAATTGTGCCAAGTGTAGGAGACAATTAATGCACTCTCGTGAGTACGATGGGACAGATCACGTGGGAGAATAGTAAAATATAAGTTGAACCGAACAATGAAGGCTCAGTTCATGATGCCAAGCAGAATCATAGAGAGCTCGGTAGTAGAAGTAAGAGTTCGATTTTGATAGGCCGAGCTTTACTCGGAACAACCTTAAATTGAGTCTTGAGGGGAGTGTCTACAATCAAGGGATTTAGGTATAATAAATAAGTACAGTCATTGGCTCGGAAGGAGCTAGGTATCAGGAGGAGTGTCTGGAGTGATTTAAGCAATCCCTAACAAACATCCCAGATTGATAGGAGGTATGCCATTTTGCATCATCAATAACGGGAACTTCAACAAGAAGGGTGACTCTATATAAGGGACCGAAGATGCACAATAAAAAGTACACACAACATTCTCTGCATACACATTTCTTTCATATCTTTACCGACTTAAGTATGAAAGTGTCTTCAATTGAAACACTTTAGTCCTAAGCAATTTGCTCGTTTAGTAGGAAAGAGAGGGCATAACACAGAGAAACCATATTCATCTACCAATGAAAGAGGTAAATACGTTTCCACTGCTTATACTTATAATCTTCAATAAATACCAACACCGAAATCTATATCTACAGCTATTTATCAGTTGCATGCAAGTCTCTAATTCCATGAACTGCTGCTCAAAAAAAAAAACTCTATGAACTGGGTAACTAGTTGCATGATGTATATAGTCAAATTATATATGTGAAACATCCTTTGGAACATGATCTGGTAATTTGATATAACCTACTTGCACATTGTGCGGGATTAACAATGCAATGTCACAGTTTTTACATGCGGCCTTTTGGACTTATTTCATCAGGTCTCTGATGGTTAAGATAAATTAAAAATAAATAAAAAAGATAAATTAGTGATTTTTATTACTTCAACAAGGTATATTAGTAGTATATACACATGAATCACCCATGTAGAGGTAAAATATAACAAATATAAAAAAGAAATAACAAAAAAAATCAAAATTAAGTTTATGTACAACGTATAACAAACATATAATGATTTAAATATTAGTTTTACGTATAATGTACATATGCAAGGACTAGTATAATTTAAATATACTCATAAGACAATTAAGTGGTACACAATCAATAAAAAAACTCTTATATTTTTTACAACTTTATGAGCATCAAAATTTCTTGATAATATGCTTAGAAATTTCTTAGCCGACCATTTTCTTCGCTAACAAACGAGCAATATTATTTAAATTTAATTTATTTATATAATTATGTATAACTACTAAATTACCAATGTATCAATATTTATTAAAATACACGATCAATTCAATAATTATAATAAATTAAGTCAGTGAAAATAACATTATTGCTAATAAAAATCACCAGGCTCGCTATGGCCACTCTCGCACACGCCTCTAGTTGTAGTTCCTTTTGTTAGTTTCATTTCCAGATGGCTGCTTCATCAATCGACACTTTCCGACTCTACTTTCGCACTGAACTTCAAAACCCCAAAATTCTGAAGCATACTGCACACACTTCCCTAAAACCACCGTCAATCACCCCAGCCCATATTCATAAATCCCTCTCTCTCCAGCCAAAAACCCAAACCATTACCAAAATCTCCATTTCCCCAGAACCTTCGTTTTTATCAAGACCCAATTCAAGTAATTCTTTCTCAAACTGTTCCTTACTAACCCACGAAAAAATTTCCAAGTTCTTCGCAGAAAAGGTTGTAGTTGTGCTTGTTGGGTCATTTATATTCATGGGCTGCCTCACTGCTAAGCCTAGGCCTGTTGTGGCACTACCTGGTCAAGAAAGTAGTTATGGTGGAAGTATGGAACATAAGAGAGAGACCCAGGACGGAAAAAGTGAGGATGAAAAGATATATGTGAATTTATTGGAGGAGAACCCCAGAAATGTTGAAGCTTTGAAGGTGGTGGTTAATGAGAAGATGAGGAGAGGGAAGACTAAGGAGGCTGTGGAGTATGTGGAGAGGTTAATTGATGTTGAACCGAAAGAAGTTGAATGGCGCCTTTTGCAGGCTCTTTGTTATGAGATGATGGGGCAATTGAGTAAGGCTAAGAGGTTGTTTAAGGAAATACTGAAGCAGAGGCCTCTCTTGCTCAGAGCTTTGCATGTATGGTTCTTAATCCTTTACTATTCTGCAGAATTTTAGTACTTTTAACATGCTTGGGCTTCCACATTAAAGGAAAATAACGTTTTGGATGTATAGTGTAAATATACCATAGGTCTGTAATCATAGATCTATCCCATTTTTCGGTTTAACCAAAAGAGGTTAATGACATGAGTTTTAAACTTGAATTTGGGTTAATAATCAGTTTGTCACTTTTGTTGCTTTCGCATGTATTCACTTCGGTGTTTAAATCTCGGCCCAATAATCTTGAGGTATAGGGTAAGAACCTGAGGCCCGAGGAGGGCCACTTTGTGCAAATAATGCCAAATGTTAGGTTTGTATCCCTTGAGAGGATCTAAATTGATAGGTACACTCACTTAAACTCCACATAGAATCATTAAAAAAAAATTTAATAAGCAGATCAATAGAGAATCTCTTTGGTGGTTGGGAAATATGAATTAAATCGCTTCATGTTAACTTGTTTAAGTACACTTGATTACATGACATAAATAATCATCCTTGATATACTATTGTTGGATGTTGTAGTCTTAACTTCATACTAGACAATTATAGTTGCCTCTATCATTGGAAGTCACTTGAACTTGGCAAGGGTTTAAGCCTGTTAATATCTGTGCCAATGCTGTTTGATGCCGCATTGTTCTTATATTTATTCTTGTATTTTTGTAATCTAAATCAAATTCTTACTATAAAAAAATATAAAGCTAGATAATCATGTGGTGCCAATTTCTCTCAATTTTTCATTTTCCTTGGTAAATTGTACTCAATATTAGGAATGTGAGTAGATCCACTAATGGGAAGTAACTTCACGTACTGGTTATTATGAAGAAGGGTTGTGCCTCTTTTGACATGCCCAAGTACAATGTACTTATGATTTGGTTGGTTATTTAACATGAGGTCGGTGAAGTTACTTTGAAATATTGAAAATTTTTATGAATCATATATTACATTTGTGACTGCGAAATATGGGTACGAAGTTAAGGTTGATTAAAGTTAGAAAGATCAATTTGGATAAACTAGTGTCCCAAACTTGAAGGATGTGAATAATACTAAGGACCACCATCTTGCAAAGCATGGAACCCTCTAATCAGTGCGTGAAGGAACACATGGAAAACGTATTTCGCATTTGCGAATGTGACATCCGATATGAAGTTAAGGTTGGTTAAAGTTAGAAAGCTTTATTGGATTAAAATAGTGTTCTAAAGTCCAAACTCAATGATGTATTGTGCACTTATTCTCTGTCTTGTGTTTTATTGTTCAAACTATTGTGCACTCATTCTTTACATCATATTCTACTATACTATGAATGACATTCATGGCTGACATCTGCGTCCCCATTGCAATCTTTTGATAATAGTCCGGAAGCATGATATAAGTCAATGCTACTGATAGTGTCTTCCGTGTCACTGGGTTTAGTGGCTTGATCCATGATTTAGTGTTGCAGGGGTAGTTTTACCCTAGGGGCCAAATGGCAGCCAACTGATTGAAGATTATGCTGCAATCAAAAGCAAACTGTAGCTGGTTGTGTTGTCATGCACGGACATAAAACTATGCCGTCGTCATACAACTTGTTTGGTTTGCCACTCAGCTCATTGTTCATTTTCCTAAATTGACCCCACTGCCTGCAATCATTTGCAGCATCTTCGTAGAGAAATAAGTGGGGAAGAAATATAGATACATATGGAAGGAGCAATAGATCACTTGTGCTTAGATACTTCATTACTGGTGTGCTTACAACTCCAACAATGATAAAATCAAGAATCCTGGATTGCCTTCACCTTATTCTTTTTCTGTCGGGAGTCAGAACCTCTCTTTGACTTTCTTTGCTTTATTTCTTTCTCTTCTGTCTTTCCTTCTTGCAATACATTCCACTATAGTTTTTATTTTATGTAATTTTGTGTATCAATGATTAAACTTAGAGTACCTGTCACTCGGTAACTTACGTTTTTCTTTTGAGGCTACCTGTGAAGGCGTTGCTATTGCAACCAGCATACTCAAACTCAAGAATAAGGGACAGAAACTCACACAGAAGGCACACACGAATTTACTAAGACAACACTCCCAAACCTTATATATTGAACTAACAATTTACAAGGACTCTCAAAGCCAGAACACTCTCTCCTTTCCAGAATGCTCAAGCACCCCTATTTATACAAGAGGAAGGCAGATGACACCCCCATCTGCCAAGGGGTAGTTACCCACGTTTTTGCTATTCCATAGCATACTGGGCTAGCAGGCTTGGTCTCTGTACAACACCTGGCAGGCACTTCCACCACTTCCAGTAACTGCTGTGGAACTGCCCTTCATCAGCATGCATCTAGACTGGATTCAGACTAGGGACGTCCAGAACTGCCTCAGCAACTGCCTTGACTGAGTCTCAGCATCATACCCGCCCATATCCTCCTGGTCACATGCATTGAGCAGCCATGTGCCAGTCAGGTGCCCACATTCAGCAGTCAACCTTGCTACACGAACCAATGTGCATGTTGGGTTCAACCTATGCCATGCAATCCGAAGCTCTGCACCCACATTGCTTTAATTGAGCCCACCCATGCTCCCATGCTCAACCGGGTGGTCTCATGCTGCCTTGGTTCGCCCCAATCTGTCGAACCACTTAGCCGCATCACCTTGATTCCGATTTCTGGTATGCCTTGGTGCAAGATGCCACCAAGATCGGCCATTTGCACCCAAGTCAATTAGGGTGTGATAAGCCACCCCTACCTAAAGTATCCAACGACCTCGTTGGAATGGAGGCATGGTATTGCTTGATGAGATCCTCGAACTGCTACAATGTCGTCTCTTTCTCCCAAGTGGCTTCCTCCGGTGCTTTCCCTTTCCACTTGACTAGGTAATGAGTTCTTCTATTTTTATTACTCATTCCCTCAGTCTTGTGGTCAAGGATAGCTTCAGCTATTTCTGTGAATTACTTCCTGATTGTTGTAGGAGCCCGACGCCGAACGTATCTGTTAGGGTCCTCCGGTCCTCAACATACGGCTTTAAGAAGGCAACATGGAAAACTTAATGAAGCTTGAGACGACTGGGAAGATCCAGCCTATAGGCCAACCTGCCAATCCTCATTGTTATTAGGAAAGGGCCGCCATAACGCTGGATTAATCCCTTGTGTGCAGACTTCCGAGAGATCTTATTCCAGATTGGTGGGGTCAATTTTAGCGTCACTTTGTCACCTACTTCAAACTCTACTACCCTTCTCTTCTCGTCTGCCCACTTTTTTATCCTCTTCACCGCCTTAGTTAAACAGTCTTTTGTTTCGTCGGTCCGCTCCTGATTGGCCCGAGTGAAGCGATATGCTGCAGGACATCTCTCTTGAGACTTTTACTTGATAACTTCATGCGGGGTAAGAGGCTGTTGGCCAGTTGCCAACTCAAAGGGGCTCATTCCAGTGGAAGAACTCTGTTGGAGGTTATAACTGAACTGGGCTACATCAAGTAAATCCACCCAATTGTCCTGGTTTGCTGTGACATAATGTCTGAGATATTCCTCCAGCATTGCATTAACCCGCTCGGTCTGCCTATTTGTCTGCGGATGATTGCTGGTGGAAAGGTTGAGCTGTGTGCCCAACAGTTCAAATAAAGCTGTCCAGAACCGCCAGTAAACTGAATGTCCCTGTCACTCACTATGTCTAGTGGAAGACCCTAAAGCTTCACAATATGCTTGAGGAATAACTGAGTAGTAACTTTCGCCGTACATACTTTTGGGGGCAGTAATAAAAGTGGCATACTTCGAAAATCTGTCTACCACCACAAATATCGAAGTAAAATCGTTTACCTGAGGCAAGCCATTAATGAAGTCCATGGAAACACTCACCCAGGGTCAGCTTGGAATAGGGAGAGGTTTCAATGTACCCGCCACCTTCTTCCTTTCAATCTTGTCCTGCTGGCACACCAAACAAGTGCGCACATACAGCTCTACATCTGCTTCCATGCAGGCCAATAATAACTTTTTGCTAGCAAGGCAAGAGTCCGTTGCTGTCCTGGATGTCCTGCCCATAGAGCATCACGAGCTTCTTTCAGCAACATCTGTCGAAGTCCGCCTAACTTCGGAACATAGGGGTCTCCTACCTTTGGCGTAGAGAACACCATCCTCTACCCAAAATCGCCGAGTCACCCCTTCGTGAACCTGCTTCAGCAATAAGCTAGTCACTGGATCATCTTTAGTCTGATCCTGAATTCTCTACAATATGTCTCCTGCAATCTGGCTAAGTGCAGCCCCAAGCTGGGATTCGACTAAGAGCATCAGCAACCTGATTTGCACTGTCAGGCTTGTACTGCAACGTGAAATGAAACTGGACAAGAAAGTCCTGCCATCTTGCTTGTTTTGGTGTCAGTTTCTTCATGAATTGAAGCAGCTGGTAGCCACATTATCTGTCAGTACAAGGAACTGCTTCCCCACAAGTAGTTTCCTCCCTGCATTGATGCAGTGAATGACTGCTGTCATCTCCTTCTCATGACTGAATACCGCTTCTCGGTATCATTCAGCTT